TTGAACAGTGACTCAAATAGCAGCCACTACGACCCAGACCTTCGTCTACCATTTACTTTATTAGGAAAACGGAAACCATCTTGAATGCTACAATGGCGAAAATCTTGGATTCCATCTTGAAACATAATGATAACCAAAGTTATTAATTACATTTTGTATATCAACTCACATTTTAAAAAATGACGAAAGGCATTTCTTATATGATTATTAACTCTCTTTGGGGGATTTTAGGGATTATGCCGTCATTTTAGACGCCATCTTGGATCTAATTATGATTCCTGTCTGCTACAGGAGAATTAAATTGGTCTTAATTTATTGATTCATTATTCTCTTCCCCCAAACTGGGGTTAGACGCCAATGTCGCTTGGGCTAATGATTCAATACTACTTTCAAATGTCGCAAGCTATCTTGGAGGGCAGAATGGGGGAAAATGTACATCACTTTTCATGTACATGTAAAGGCCGTGATTGAGAATGGAGATGATGGCATGGGGGAACGAATGACTAAATGTGGAGAGTGGAGGGTAGAAGAATGAGAGGTGGAGAGAGAGAGAGAGAGAGAAAGAGAGAGAAAGAAAGAGCATTGGATGTGGTGGTCTTTAGTCTATGCGGGTGCGTTCAATCGACACTTTTTCACCCTAGACTCACGGTTTCCAAAGACGTTTAGTTTAAAACACGATTTTTCGTCGGTCGTGTAAAAATAAACGTGTTTAAAACACAAACATGAAACGCTGAAAAAGACGCGTTTTGTATCGTGATTCTGCAAGATCACGGTCGCTAAAATTCGATTGAACGAACGGAGATCTTAATCATGATTACATGACGTCATTATCGTGGCCTGTTCCGTCATGTTATTCCTTGTTTTCCTAATAACATTTTCTCTTTCTGTTTTTATTATGTTATTCTTTGTTTTCCATCTTTCATCTTCTCTTCTATCTGTCCATTATCTATTTTTTATCGTTTCCTCTTTCTGTCTTTCCTAATGTTATTCTTTGTTTCTTCCTTCTATTCTTATGTTATTCTTTGTTTTTATTATTCTTTGTTTTTTCCTCCTATCACCTTTTCTTATGTAATTCTTTTTTTCATCGTTCTATCATTTTTTCCCTACCATTCCTTATGTTATTCTTTGTTTTTTCATCTTTCATCTTCTCTTCTATCTTTCCATTATCTATTTTTTATCATTTTTTTTTCTTTCCTTATGTTATTCTTTGTTTGTTCCTTCTTTTACCTTATTTTATGTTATTCTTTGCTTTTTCCTTTTATCACCTTCTTTTATGTTATTCTTTGTGTTTATCATTCTATCACTTTCTCTTATTTTATTCTTTGTTTTAATCATTATATCAATTTCTCTTTCTGTCTTTCCTTATGTTATTGTTTCTTCCTTCTATCACCTTCTCTTATGTTCAATTCCAGACGGCGAGCGCCGAAATTGACCTATACTTCCTGGGTCAAACTGCGCAGTGACTGGGCTCGAAATGAGCTAGAATCAGCGTTGATGAAAAATCGCTTGAACGCTCTCTCGCAGTAACCGTGTTTTGTAACGGCGTTTTGATTTGTGATTCATGTTTGTGATTCTAGCTTCAATAAATCGCTTGAACGCAACATATCAAGGGCGAAATCTATTGAACGAAAGAAATCAGAATTATATTTTGTATTTGATTCTCGTGAAGCAAAGGATCTTGTTTGTTGTCAGTGTAGGCCTATAAAAGTCAACTTTTGTGTATTTAATGACTTATTGTAATACTGTATATTTTGATGTGTTTTAGCTCAAGCGCGGAACTCTACAAACATGACCGATGAAGTGTTGCATACGGAGGATAATCATTGCCAGCCGATTCTTGTTAATGGTGAATTGATGCCTACAGTGCCAGAGTACATGCCGTCGTTTCCCGTCTCATTGAAGGGTATTAAACGAAATTTCGTTTGCAAGTTATCTGGTGAGTTTTAGGTTTATAGTGATGATCATAACAATTATGATAATGTCAGCCCAACATGTAGCCTGATTTAAAATATCATAAATCATTGGAGTGAGACCTTTATGAATCAGAGAGGAGTCAATGTCGAAACATTTTCAGACGTAGAAATATGCAATAGTAAATGAAAAATTGAACAAGGTGGAACAAAGGTTAGGCGTTATGAATCATGATTTGTTTTCTTCAAGTTCTCTCTCTCCCCCTCCCCCTGTCTTTCTATTTTACTTTTACTTTCGCTTTCAAGTATATAGAATATGCTACAACATCAAGCATTATCCGGCTTTCGGCAGCCGCCCAGGCGTCAAAATCTAGTAATTGAATATAATGTGATAAATATTGTCCAGTAAAATTTGTATGGAATTGCGACAGGTCCCCCACATAATGATTTCATTCAAAACGGCTTTTATCGTTAATATTTATATTTTTTCTTCAGCACCGAAAACTGTTTCTATGACACCTCCAGCCACATCAAGACCTACAAATTTCGGTAAGCAATTTACAATGCACTCACCCCCCCCCCCCCTCTCCCTACGTCTGTCTGTCTGTCTCTCCCTCTCTCTCTCTTTCTCTCTCTCTCTCTCTCTCTCTATTCCTCTCTCTTCTAAATAATTCCATTTCCCTTCTTTCTTTTCATTACCATGGCGTTTATGTTATCTTTACAGATCTTGAAATATTAAGCAAAATATGTAATAATGTGGGTAAACACCTTTGGTAAATATTTCCCTTCTTTATCATTATGTCATGGTAAATTTTGCCAATGAAATTGATCCGCCCCTCATGCAATGGGGAACTTTGATAGAGCTTTGCATCATTATTTTCTCAGTTTCAATTTCTCACAAATCTATATTGCTTCCTTATCTTTTATTAGTAGAGCAGTTTATTGCCCACTATTTCAACTTAACATTGTACTACTATTGTACAAGTATTTTGGACCGGAAATTTCGCGCAAAATGCTTCAATTGAATTGGCCGCAAACTAGATTATACTTTTTGAAAGCAATTAGGAACTTTGTATCACATTGTGATATTCGCTATATACAAGAACGGCATATCATTATTAAATTCTTCCTCTCTACAACCATGGATATACATGCTCAGGCGCGTACGCAGGATTTTTTTCGAAGGGGAGGGGGGGGGGGGGGGGGGGGGGGGGGGGGGGAGGGGGGGGGGGGGGGGGGGGGGGGGGGGGGGGGGGGGGGGGGGAGGTGGTAAGGTCACCTTTTTTGGGTCACCTATTAGCACATTTTTTTTAATTTAAAAAAAATTGAGGGGGGGGGGGTTTTCCTCCAAAACACACACACATACACACACACATACGCGCCTGCCTTCAAGTACACTATAGACTAGCTCCGATGCACGATATTTCGTGACGATAAATTACTTGTTCACAATGTGAATTACACTTTATTTAAAATTTTCTTCGTTTCTTGCTTGAGGTTTATTACATTTGGTTGTACACTGTTGCTTATAAAGTTGGATTTTTTTTAAACTCCAATTTATGGAATTATTTTGACAATGATTTATTCGTAATAGATCAAGATAATAGTATACATTCTCAGATTTTATTGAATAATAATTTGCCAGTGTTTGTTTTGCGTGACTGCTAAAGCATGTGTATGCTACTATGCTTATCAACTACGGGACCTACGCCCTTAGGTCATAAATGACAGTAATGAGGATTAATGCCCCACAAAAGGGCACTAATATAGCACATCGACACGATTTTGATCCTGGGGCCTAAAAGTTACGAGGCCATTGCTTTGCCACTGAACCATGACTGTACGCAACGGGGGCTAGGGTAGGGGGCAGTTCCCACAAATTAAACAAGACAAAGAAAATGCAATAAATTATCAATAATTCATTGCATTTTACCCCGGTCCCCAACATAAACAAATCCTCTGTAATGCAATGCATTATGGCTCAAGGCATCGATGTCCAGGAAGGGCTCAACCACTTCACATACTACAACAACTACTCGTAAGAAACCTCAACCTCCGTAACAACCCCTCCTCTCTCTCTCTCTCTCCCCCCCCCCCCTCTCTCTCTCTCTCTCATTTTCTGGGCCCGTTCCCCATGATTGCACATGTACAGCGACGATGTTTGCACTTATCTGTCTCTCTCTCTCAAATATAATATTCACGAGTAGAAATCAATTTCCAGGGAGTCATATTAGGGATCATTCGTTTGTAGTAGAAGTCCAGCTAATATATTGGACCCACTCTCAATATCTTAATTAAGCACTCCCCCTGAGTGGATAATGATAGACAAGTCGTTCGCAATTTGAGATTATCCGATAGAAACTTGATTCTTTTATCGCTCGAAATATGTAAACGTTTTCAGCAACCACTACTTCTCGTGAATCAACAACCAATTCTATATCGGACTCGATCACACCAAATCCTACAAGTAAGCATGTTACCTCTCTCTCTCTCTCTCTCACCATGCTCACCCTTTCCGTTTACAATTTTCTGTTTTTAAATTTAACCTCACTCACTCTCTCTCTCCATTTCTCTCTCTACCTCCCTCTTTCCCTTCACCTCTCCCTATCTCTTCCTGTTCACCTTTCTTGCACGACGTATGCTTTCCACTTATCTGTTTTTCTTGCAAATCTGATATTTACAAGTAGAAATTTACAACTTTATTTTTGTTATCGCTTATAATCTAAACGTCTTCGTTCAACTTCTATTCGTTTTCAGCATCCACAACTTCTCGTGAAGCAACAACCAATTCTATATCGGACTCGACCACACCAAGTCCCACTACAACTACAAGTAAGCATGTTACCTTTCTCTCTCTCTCTCTCTCTCTCCCTCTCTCCCTCTCTCTCTTTCTCTCTCTCTCACCATGCTCACCCTTTCCGTTTACAATTTTCTGTTTTTAAATTTAACCTCACTCACTCTCTCTCCCTTTCTCTCTCTATCTCCCTCTTTCCCTTCCCCTCTCTCTATCTCTTCCTGTTCACCTTTCTTGCACGTATGCGTTCCACTTATCTGTTTCTCTTTCAAATCTAATGTTTCAAGTAGAAATTTACAACTTTATTTTTGTTATCGCTCATAATCTAAACGTCTTCGTTCAACTTCTATTCGTTTTCAGCATCCACAACTTCTCGTGAAGCAACAACCAATTCGTTTTCAGCATCCACAACGTCTCGTGAAGCAACAACCAATTCTATATCGACCACACCAAATCCCACTTCAACTACAAGTAAGCATGTTACCTCTCTCTCTCACCATGCTCGCCCTTTCCGTTTACAATTTTCTTTTTTAAAATTCACCCTCACTCACTGTCTGTCTGTTTCTCTCCCTCTTCGCCTTTTCTTTCCTTCTTGATGTCTATTTTATATGTTTTCTTACTTTCCTTCTCTCTGTCCAATTTTCTCTTTCATCTCCTCATGTCTTTCCCTATTTCAGTTCCACTTTCATGTGTATACAATAGGCTGCAACATGAGCAACATCTTGTTCTCGGCTGCCGCTCAGGCGTCAAAAGCTAGGAATTGAATATCATGTGATGATTGTCTAGTAAGATTTGTTAATTTTTGGTAAATATGAGTTTAAATGTATTTTGCCCTCAGACTGTATCATCAGGCGTATATATTTCTTTTTCAGGATCAACTACAACACGAGACACCACAACGATGTCCACGACGGAATCCACCACCTCACACCCTACGACAACTACTCGTAAGAAAACTTCATCTACACTATAATGTCTTTCTTCCCTCTCGGCTCTCCCCTCTCTCTCCCCTTTCCATCTCTCTCTCTCTATCTTTCTTATCATTTGTCCTCTGTAATTATGCGAATTTCCTAAGAAATAACCCTCTTTTCTTTTCCTTGTTCATCTTCTTCGTTTCTTCTTAACTACTTCTTATTCTTTTTCTTTTTCTTCATCTCTTTCTTTTTCTTCTTTTCTTCTTCTTCTCCTTCTTTTTCTTCTTCTTTTTTTTTTTTTTTAATTCTTTGTTTCTCCTGCTTCTATTATTATCCTCCTCCTCCTTTTCCTCATTTTCCTTTTCTTTTTTTTCTCCTTCTTAATATTGAAAAATTATTATGTTGATGATGGTGATGATGATGATTATGAAAGTTATTTTTATTATTATTATTGATATGATCTTTATTGTTATTATTATCATCATTATCATTATTACTAACATTGCCATAATTACTCTTGGTATTATTATTATGGTGACAACGACGACGATGACGATGATAAATTCGATATTCAAATGTGTGATTTCCCGCGCAGCAATCGGTGTTTCTCGTGAAAGTTTTCATATCATTTTGTACGATTTTGCAGACAAAGACACCATCCCTACTAGCACAACTACCACAAAGTCAAGGGTTTTATCATCAACAAGTACCCTGACCGACGAAGCAAGTAGTGAGACACCGCAACCAACGACCACGGCAACGTCATCATCGACAACGGAATCTCCAACAACGCCTTCACAAGACCGTGAGACTATATTTTCATTGGCGAACTACTCTGATAAACAAGAAAATACGTTAATAATAATAATAATAGTTTGTCCTTATATAGCACATTTCAGGACCGCAGGTCCTCTCAATGCGCTTTACAGATATATACTAGGGACTTTTAGATTTGCACGTCGACAGCTTTGACTGCAACGTGTGACGTCATTTTAAGGCACTGCGCATGCGTCACGTTGTCTCAGTCGGCGATCGAGAATGCGTCAACCTTGATTTTCCTAAATCTAGTACGGTACTAGTATGCCGCGTGCGCATAAAATATACAGTTCCTCAGGTAGACAAAGGAACATCCCTTCCCTGCTATTATGTAAAAACATGCATATTCACCTGTTCTACACATTTTTTACATAATAGCAGTGAAGGGATGTTCTTTTGTCTACCACAGCAATTGTTGAGGGTAGAATAAGGAACTGTATATCTTGTACTCTTTCTTTGTCTGTCATGACTTTGTTCATAGTGTGACTTCCTGCATGCACGTATATCGTCGAGTGAAATCTAAAAGATTTCTAATTGTAGTCAACATGGGCAGTTGAGTACGTTGACACGCATGATCAGTCGGCGTTCGTCGTGTTCTCGTCCACTTAATCTAAAAGTCCCTACTATTACCCCGGTCATCGGATTCATGCTTACCCGCACACAAGGTATGCACATTTTCCACTCCCTGGGGACCATTCCAGCCAGTCGCCATTTTACAAGCGCCATTGCTAATCAAACCAGGTTAGCTTTCATTAGTGCCGCGGTGGGACTTGAACCGCGGACCTTGTGATCCACAGTCCGCTGACATATCCACTCGACCACGACACCTCTACGTTAAAGGCCTATCATTTCCCCCTCTTTTTACCGGACCACTTCAAGAAATTACTCAAGGCCAGTGGCGTACGCAGGATTTTTTCAAGGGGGGGGGGTGAGGGTTTTAAAATCGGGCCCAAAATTTCGCAGCGACTCAGCCAGCCGCTGAATAAGGGGGGGGGGGGGGGGGGGGGGGGGGGGGGGGGGGGGGGGTAAGAGGACACTCTTTTTCTTTTTTTTTGGTCTCGAAATTTGAAAATTGTACATTTTGTCTTCATTGGGGGGGGGGGGGGTAACGTCACCTTTTTAGGTTAGCCATTGGCATATTTTTTAAATTTTATTTAAAAAACAACAACAAACAAACAAACCAAAGGGGGGGGGGGGTTTCCAAAAAACATACACATAAAAAAACTCAAGGGGGGGGGTTTAATCCCAAACCACCACCCCCCCCCCCCCCCTGCGTACGCGCCTGCTCAAGGCACATCTATTCTGCTAGAAATTACTTTATTACCAGCCGACATATTCTTAACTGATCTCTGAGAAGTGACTAACTTTTGTTTATTAGTGTCCCAAACATTGTGGAGCAGTATGTGCAGCGCTTTGTAATCGCAAGGAAAGGCGCTATATCAAAAATCTTTTGGATGGATGGATGATTTACCCAGGTTATCCCCTCTTTTTAAAGACACGATTTAACCAAGTTTTACCCTATATTCATTTATTTACTCTTTAACACACGAACTTCCCTTCTCCCTAGCTCTTATCACACGATTTACTCATGTTTTACCCTCTTTTTATGACAGTTTGTTTCCGACTCCTTGTAAAAATGGAGGGATTTGCCAACAGTTAGTCACGTCGTATCTATGCACTTGCCCTCAGATGTTCTACGGTCTAGTGTGTGGTATGTATATTATTTCTAGCGCAACTTGATCTTTATACACACAAAGTGTTGGTGGAGTAGTAGGTGACTTATTCTGTGCATTACTCAAAGAAGCGGGACTCCCTTGTAAAGGAGGAGCTTCGAAGCTCTGAATGAGACTACCCTCCTTAACATAAATATTTAAAAAAAAAAAAAATATATATATATATATAATATATATATATATATATATATATATATATAAGTAAATATACACATCGTAAATAGATAAATGAAGAAATGATTAATAATACACTGTTGCTCATAAAGTTGGAATATTTTTTTACCCCAATTTATGGAATGATTTTGACAATGACTTATTCCTAATAGATCTAGATAATAGTATACATTCTCAGATTTTATTGAATAATAATTTGCCAGTGTTTGTTTTGCGTGACTGCTAAAGCATGTGTATGCTACTATGCTTATCAACTAGGGGACCTACGCCCTTAAGTCATAAATGACATAAATGGCCTCACAGTTACAAGGCCATTGCTTTGCCACTGAACCATGACTGTACGCAGCGGGGGCTAGGGTAGGGGGCAGTTCCCACAAATAAAAAATACACAAAGAAAATGCAATAAATCATCAATAATTCATTGCATTTTACCCCTGTCCACAACATAAACAAATCTTCTGTACGGCCATGCATTGAATGTATACTATTATCTAGATCTATTAGGAATAAATCATTGTCTTTTTCTTCTCATGGGCATTTTCACGATAAAATCCAGAGAGAGATGAATAATGTGAAAAGTAGACGATTTGACCCCTCCCACCCTTCTTTCCCCCCCTTCTCTCTCTCTCTCTTCCTCTTCATGTATATCTCGTACGTGTTTTGACAGAGTGTTCCGTATTCCACACACCTGACGTGGGTGAAACCAGAGTGTACACCTTTCCCGGCTTCTGGATTGCTGAGAATGTGACGTCATTTGACTTCATGGTCAGCGCTGACAATGATGCCCACATCGGACTCTTCGCAAGTAACGTGTCACACGAAAAATACGAATTAGGTAAGTCAGTGTCGCTGAGTTTCGGAGTCAATGGCTGCAATCCCTGGAGGGCGGGAGAGAACCCCCCCCCCCCTCCCCCTCCCGAACATATTTCTTTGAGGGATCTCTACCCCCCCCCCCCCCTCCCCCTCTCCCGGAGAAATATTGATAATCTTCTCACTCCGTCACGACGGACCCTCGCTTAAAAATCAAAAGTTTTAAAATGTCTCAAAGTTGATATTCTAAGACAATCCCAAATATTGAGATAATTACATCAATAGAAAGCTTTTAACCCCCAGAATAACACTAAATGGTGTCCAACTGAAAAAAAAAACAAGTTTAGAATGGTGAATTTATGCGAGTAAACTCTACCAAACTATCTAAGTCTGAAACCGGAAGTGCATGTAGAGTCGGGCCTATATCCGTGACGTCACGAACGGGACTCATGGGCTCAGTGAGAGTGAATAGGGGCTTTTAGATTTGCGTGGACTGATACGTGTGACGTCCATTCAAGGCAGTGCATTAAAAGGACGTCGACCGTAGCAATCCCCATTGTCTTCGTGCGAATCTAAAAGTCCCTAATAGCAGTGATATCCCTACGTAAATGCTATCCAGTCAGAGTTTTGATTTGTTGTTGTTAATGAGTATGTTTTGATGGATTTTCTGTTTCATTTGAATGAAGAAAAACAAAGCAACATTTTCCAGTCGCTGATTTTTTTTTATATCCTCATATTCACCTATTTGGTAGAGATTTAAGACGAATTTACTGCTTGGGAAACAAGGTTAAATCATGCACGTATCCGGATGCATTATCTTGTCATCAGATAAGGTACAGGAGCAGTTTTGTAAAACGAATAGGCATATAACTATGATAGTACTGACATAGATGTGTGTGACTGCCTCAAAAAGGATGCAGTACCAGTTAAACATTTTATGTTGTAAAATATCAAACTTGAACGAGATCATGCAAACGTCTAGTGATCGAACGATATTCATCCGCGAGTGATGCGGCTCTTGCACGAAAGTTCGTGAAGCGAGCAGAATCGGGAGGTAAGACCAGGCCGCTGCTCTAGGCGCGGCTTGCTTGTGATGGAACGTACGTGTGCGCTAGTTATATGTTTATCGGCAATTGCAAGAGAATGAAAGCAACGTTACCAGCTAAGAAAAACAACTAACAAAGACTTGCTCCTGACTACCGGTGTCAGAATTGGTAGATCGCACAATGCATAGCATGGAAGAAGATGAAGGATCTTCAGGGCCAAGGAAGGCGAAAGACATGGGAAAAGGAAGAAGAAACCATCGGGAGGTCGCTGTATGTATAATAATGAACTGTGCATGGGTCCACTTACCAGACAGCTACTGTTCACTCCGTGCCTGTGCCGATTTCAACACTAAAACAAAAATTACATGGTGAAAATATCGACTAATAGCACATCGGTGGCATGTATATGTCATAATTTTTAAAAGGGGAATTGATATTAATACTATGAAATATTAGGGGAAGGTAAAGAATTGTACATAGAATTATGATTTATTAGACTTTTCAGCCTTTGAAACAAAAATAAGCAGAAAATCTCTCTGCACATGCTTTCTATGGAACATCCGGGTACATGAATATACTCTTTCCCGGACGTGATGTCATAATATACTAGACCAGCGCCGTGACTGATTTTCTATGCAAAGAGAGGCGGATATTTTCGTCATTTCAATTAAGGATTTCGAGTAGCCAGATTTTTTTGTGATATACTAAGTAATTGAAAAACTTATAAATAACATATGCTTGCTGTAGGTACCAAATTAAGGGACATTTATTTGCTTAGAATATCAGCTTTAAGAGTGTACATCCATGCAGGGAGGGGGAAGTGGTAAGTCGTATGTATTGAACAGACAGAGATTCCATTGTGTGTATATACCGTGTGAGTCAAAAAAAAGTTTACACCTCGAAAATTGCTCATTATTTAAAAATCATCTATGAACAGTAAATTATTATACATCTTATGAAAGAGTGTTTTATCCCAAATCGTTTGATATCATTTGTGTGTGATGCATACAGCAGGTATTATGTTGGGGTTAGCGGAGTGAGAGAATGAATTGAATGTATCAAATGAAATGCATTGCAAATGCTTTTCATATTCGATATTTGATATGTGTGGCATGATTAATTTTGTAAGGGATGTTATTTGGATCTGCCAAATTCGATTTAATACCCAAATCTTCCCTGTCTCTCTCCCCGTTTTCCTATCCTTTATCCCTCGGTTTTACCCCTCTTCGTCCCCATTCCATGGAAAGGGGTAGGGCTGTTTGGAAGGGGGAGGGGCAATAC